TCTCCAAGGTTCCTCCAAGGTTCCTCCAGGGTTCCTCAAAGGTTCCTCCAGGGTTCCTCCAAGGTTCCTCCAAGGTTCCTCAAAGGTTCCTCAAAGGTTCCGTTGAGGTTCCTCCAAGGTTCCTCCAGGGTTCCTCCAAGGTTCCTCCAAGGTTCCTCCAGGGTTCCTCCAGGGTTCCTCCAAGGTTCCTCAAAGGTTCCGTTGAGGTTCCTCAAAGGTTCCTCCAGGGTTCCTCCAAGGTTCCTCCAGGGTTCCTCCAAGGTTCCTCAAAGGTTCCGTTGAGGTTCCTCAAAGGTTCCTCCAAGGTTCCTCCAAGGTTCCTCCAGGGTTTCTCAAAGGTTCCTCCAAGGTTCCATTGAGGTTCCTCAAAGGTTCCTCCAGGGTTCCTCCAAGGTTCCTCCAAGGTTCCTCAAAGGTTCCTCCAAGGTTCCTCCAAGGTTCCTCCAAGGTTCCTCAAAGGTTCCTCCAAGGTTCCTCCAAGGTTCCTCAAAGGTTCCTCCAAGGTTCCTCCAAGGTTCCTCCAAGGTTCCTCAAAGGTTCCTCCAAGGTTCCTCCAGGGTTCCTCCAAGGTTCCTCAAAGGTTCCGTTGAGGTTCCTCAAAGGTTCCTCCAGCCTTGAGGTTCTCCAGCCTTGAGGTTCTCCAGGTCTGAGGTTCTCCAAAGTTGAGCTTCTCCAACCTCGAGGGTCTCCAACCTCCTCGAGGTCTCCGAACTTGAGCTTCTCCAGATTTGAGGTTCTCTAGAGCTGAGGTTCTCCAAAGTTGACCCAAAGTTGACCCAAAGTTGAGGTTCTCCAGCCTTCGGGTTCTCCAACCTTGAGGTTCTCCAGATCTGAGGTCTCCAACCCTGAGGGTCTCCAGACTTGACCCAACCTTGAGGTTCTCCAACCTCGAGGTTCTCCAAAGTTGAGGCTCTTCACCATCCTTGAGGTTCTTGAACCTCGAGGTTCTCCAACATTGACCCAACCTCGAGGTTCTTCAACATCGAGGTTCCTCCACCCTCAAGGTTCTCCAACCTCCTTGAGGTTCTCCAACTTTGAGGTTCTCCAACTTTGAGTTCTCCAACCTTGAGGTTCTCTAAAGTTGAGGTTCTCCAACCTTGAGGTTCTCCAACTTTGAGGTTCTCCAACCTTGAGGTCCCTCAACTTTGAGGTTCTCCAACTTTGAGGTTCTCCAAATTTGAGGTTCCCCAACCTTGAGGTTCTCCAAATTTGAGGTTCCCCAACCTTGAGGTTCTCCAAATTTGAGGTTCTCCAACTTTGAGGTTCTCCAAATTTGAGGTTCTCCAACCTTGAGGTCCCTCAACCTTGAGGTTCTCCAACCTTGAGGTCCCTCAACCTTGAGCTTCTCCAAATTTGAGGTTCTCCAACCTTGAGGTTCTCCAACCTTGAGGTCCCTCAACCTTGAGCTTCTCCAAATTTGAGGTTCTCCAACCTTGAGGTTCTCCAACTTTGAGTTCTCCAACCTTGAGGTTCTCCAAATTTGAGGTTCTCCAAATTTGAGGTTCTCCAAATTTGAGGTTCTCCAACCTTGAGGTCCCTCAACCTTGAGGTTCTCCAACCTTGAGGTCCCTCAACTTTGAGGTTCTCCAATTCTGAGGTTCTCCAACCTTGAGGTTCTCCAAATTTGAGCTTCTCCAAATTTGAGGTTCTCCAACCTTGAGGTTC